CCCAGGGAATCCAGGAGCAGGTGTGCAAGGCCAGCCGGGACCACACGCCTCCTCCCCACCTTGAACCCAAATGTCCACCCCTGCACCAGGGGCCTCTGCACCATTGCTGCCAGCTGGTAAAGGAACCCAGGGTCTGCAGCCACCAGGCTGCTGGCCACCGAGGCCCCCGCATTGCAGGGGACGGGGTGTGAACTGCCATCAGCCCGAGCCTGGGCCACACAGAGAGCTGCCACCCCCATCACCAGCCACCCCCTCTTCCCAGGGTCAGGAGGGAAGGGAAGAGACACCTATTAAAACTCAGGTCCACGCACCACTGGTCAAAGACTCAGTAAACAGGGCTAGACTGTCACTTTGGAACCACGGCCCCATCAGCACGATCGGGTCAGCCGCCCGTGCGCTCAGCACCGCTCTCCGCTGCCTGTGAGCCCTGAGCACACGACAGGGAAGACTGGGCATAAGCACCGTAAAGTCACCGAGTCATTGTTGGCAGGTGACACGACCGACCACCCAGGAAAATCAACTCAAAAGCCATGAGGACTAACGGGAACCTTAGCAGAGCAGCCACACATGGGACGGATATTTTTCAAAGTTAAGCTTTCCTTCCTAACAGCACTAACCAGGGTGGAACCTGATGGTTGCAAAGATCATGTTCACAATTCGACAGAAACAGGCAGTGAATGCACCCAACCTAAGCAAGAGCAGGACCCACGGGAGGAAACCGTGCTCACTGTGGCCAGCGTGGGTCCAAACTGACCAAAATTTGCAACATGAAAAGTGAAACCACAGAAGCACTAGAAGAAAGTGCAGGTGCAGGTTTATAAATTGGATGAGTATCACCTGTGCTTGGTGTAACGGGGCACCAAGGCCGGAAACTGCCAGAAAGGAAGATCTTGATGAATCTGACCACACAAAAACTAAGCACATCCACACGGAAAACAACTAGCAACGAAGAAAGATAAATGACTGCTCCGGGTCATGCCGTTATATACCGGGAACCGTGAAAAGAAACCGGGCAGCAAACATCCCAACAGGAAGCACAGGTCAGGGGTAGGAGCTGGCAATTCAGGAAGGAAGAGCACAAACACCCCAAACATGGAAAGAAAAACGTTACCAACCTCACTAGTAATCAGAGACTCGGAGCACTAATACAATCCTTTTACCTTTCAGACGGTCAAAAAGCAGACATCACTAACACCCAGAGGCGCAGACATCACTAACACCCAGAGGCGGTGAGCGTCGGAGAAAGAGGACTTGCGTGTGCTCCGAGAGCAGGCAAACGGGATCTCCCTCCCGGCCAGCCGCACCGGACACAGGCCTCCCTCTTCCTCTCTCCTCTGGCCCCTCCTGCCCTTCACTACATTTATTCATGGTTCCTTGTCTGCTACTGGTCTCCCCACCTCCTCCTTTGTCTGGGTACCCCACACCTGCAGCAGCCACATCCTTTTGGCCACCGCCACGTAACAACCGTCCAGGACAGCCATGTCTTGTGCCGGGACTGCCCATCTCCAAGGGAGCTGGCCAGCAGCACCAAGCCACACTACACGCACACTCTTCTGACTCGTCGATGTCATTCCTAGGAAGTTATCCTAAGGAAATAATGTCAAGTGTACAAAGATGAACATACAAGGATGCTCACTGGTAAACTGTTTATGTACTGGTGCCTGAGCCCCAGCGCCCCCCAACTCCACCCCAACAAATTCAATCTGAATTTCCGGAGGAGGCATCCACAGTTTTTAAGAGCATCCTTTGAGTCTAGTTCACAGGGTTGAGAACCACTATCGTAAATTTAGCCAACAAAGGATGCTGTCGATCTATAAGATGGTCATGACACATTGCTAAGTAAAAAACACAGGTTGAGACAAAACCGTATTTGGAGCATGATCCCATTTCTGTATCAAAGACATAAAGAGTGTTTCTATGTGGCTGATGTGTGAGTACATTCCTAGAAAAAGGCTGGGGCAGAGGTACGCTAATAGGTCTCAGTGCTGAAATTACTGATGTCTTGGTTTTCCTATATAGAACAATTTTAGCAAAGTCTTAAACTCTTTTACAAATTTATACACCTTAATGCTTCTATAATTAAAAAAACAAAGGTTTTATAAATTTTGGAAAAGGTTATAAGACTCTGGTAGCCCCGTGTCCCGCCTTACTGCCCACCCCACCCAACACACCCAGGCCAGGCGTTTCAGCCCTCGATGGCCCCCTTATTTCCAGTTCTCTGGGCAAAGGCAAACCTTCTCGGTGATTAGTTGCCCCCCACTAGCAAGCTAATACCATGTTAGGTTTGAGACTAGCCAGACTGCTGAGAACGGTGGGTGCCCCCCAGTTACCGGTTACTGAGCTGCTCGGCAGAAAGTGACGGAACCCCACTCAGCACCCTCGTGGGGACACCCAGACGAGAGGAATGAAGGGGGCTGCCCAGCACCCCGCAGCACTGGGGCAGGTCCCGATCAAGGTCAACCCCTAAATCAAGTGCTCCTGAAGCCCGAGAGGGGTCGCACGGGAGGAGGCATGGGGTTTCGGGAAGAGGAAAGGGGACCCTTGCTTCTGGTGTGAGGAGGAAGCCCAGAGAATTCTGAACAAGCACCCAACACCTGCCAAATAAGGACAGTGGCTCAGACACCTCAGGGTTAACAGGGAAGCGGGACATTTAAGATCCCACGTGTCATAACTCCGCTTTTTAGTTGGAATCTACCTGGCACTCTGTTAAACTGCACTCTTATTTTCTCTTTTCCTTTTCTCTGCATACCAAATCTGATATATTAATTGGGTGTTTTAATCTAAAAAATTCATCAGAAGGTCTCACATTGCCATGGCAACCGTGCAGTCCCAGTAAATGCACGTCCTCAGCACAGCACTGTCACCTCTTTCAGCTCACCCTGCACAGGGCCGAGGAAGTGTGGGACCCTGTCTGGGGGGACGACTTCACACCCTGAAAGAAAGGTGGGGTGCAGCCTTTCTCCTCTTGAAAGACTGGCCTTCTGCCTTTCCAAATCCCACTCCTTCTGCCTAAATAAACCCACAGGCTTCAGGCCAAGAGCTGCACAACATTCTCTCTGCAAACACCTACTGTGATTCCCAAGTCGTGTGCGCCCTGACGATAACGTGAAAACATGGAATAAAAGTGGAACAAAGTGGCCGCCCACCTGGATCACATCCACGGCCATTGGACCAGGGCCAGGCTTGGCATCCTAATCTTACCAAACAAAGCCCAGGCAAGTCTCGTGCTGTGTTCAGTTTGGAGATGTGGCCACCATGCCCAGGGATGAGCAGGTGATTGATGGGCACATGTGCTAAAGAGCGAGCACCTGTAGCTGAAGCTAACAACCCACTTTCACAAGACCAGAAGAGCTGGCACCTCTGCCATCCTGCTTCAAGCAAACGGGGACAGGGGTGGGGAGAAGGGGGTCATGTTAAATAATTCTCAAATCCGATCGCGCGCAGCACAGCTGCATTCTGTGCTCTTGGTGCCTCCTTAACGATCCCTGGATCCTGAGACATAACACACTGAACAGGTAGAAAAATTCTACCTTTCAAAGCTGAGGCAGCCACTGTGCTACCTCCATTTCTCTCTTTCTACACCACCTGCCTTGGGGAGCATAATGCTAAGACATGAAGGAGTGGCCAGCTCTCAGCTGACACCAGCAAGTACTGAAATCAGACATCTGATGTATTTCTCAGAAGTTTTCTCATCGTGCAGCCAGAAGCTAGATGCAAATCTCCTTCCTGATTAGTTCCTAATTCACTCTGGGCTTTCTTCACTATGAATATTTACTCTAAAAACAAAAACATATAACATATGAAACACTCCCAGCAGTGAGCTGTGTTCCAAAGTTCAGAACACGAAGACAGGTCTCCCCAGAACACACTGAGTGGGCGTGGCTGGTCCTGGATGCCCCTGCAGCAAGTCCAGGCACCATGCCCCTCCCCGATGACCGGGGCCAGGCTCATCAGAGCCCAGGACCCCCTGAGCAACAGGCTCTGCATCGCTGTCTGTGAGGACTGACCACATGGCCTGCACTTTCTCCAACACTGGCCTGAGGTCGTATTATTGTAATTTCCTATAATGCTTAAATTATGTATCAGAAATAAATAGCTTGGGCTCTTTCGCTGAGCTGTGCTCTAAAATTATAAAAGATCCATCCTACTTCTGCAGGCTGCCTACAAACGAAAAATGCATATCTCGACTATTTTAAGAAAATGTCAAAAAAACATCAAATGTGTCATCTTGTAGCATTTAACTTATCTGCATGACATCTGCAGAGAAGAGCTATATGTTTGCCTGCGAAAGTATCACAGTGCCCCAGGGGCGGACACTGCACAGCCACCTTTCCCGAGGGTGCTAAGTGAAAGGGCCGTTGTCCAGCAGGGCTCCAGGAGGCGCGCCTGCAGGTCTTTCCTGCTTTCCACCAGCGCCCACCTCCGGGTCACTAGCTTTACCTGCGGGGGACCTGAGGGCAAACTAGTTCCCAAAAGGGCAGGTCTTTGCACAAAGGCAAGCCTCCACCGCACATCTGAGTGCAAAGGTGGGCACGCCGGCAGCCATGCGGCGCCGTCACCTACACTGAGAGCTCCGAGGGCCGGGCCCCCGCGCCACCTGTGGGGCAGGCATCTCCCTTCGCAAACTCGGCACACCTCAGGTGCAGAGTAACAACCGAGCGCTCACACCTCGCAGAAAAGGAAAATGCAAACACAGCGCCCTCGCTACTGCGGGGGCCTTCGCGCCTACCGACCGCAGACCCTCAGCCCGCAGGGACGGCCGGCCTACTCCGCCCGTCGCGCCGCCACTGGACACGGAAGACACGCGTGGGCACCGCAAGCACCGTTCGCTAGTTTCCTCGGAAACCGAGACGCCTTCCCACCGGGAGGCCTTGGTGCCCCGACCCGCAGAAATCCTCCCGCCGCAGCCCCGCTGCGAGAGCGTGCGGAGTCCCCAGACGGCGCGGGTCCCAACGCCGTCCCCGCGATCGGCCCGGAGTCTCCGCCGCGGCCGTTCTCACCGTCCTCCTTGTCGTCAAACACCGGCCTCCGCGCGGTGGCCGCCGACATGGACGAGCCCATCCTCTTCTTCCACTT